ACAAGCCCAGAATGGCCCAAAGACAAAAATGGGAAAGGCACAGGCTTGGCTGCAGCTTCTTTAGCACAGAAACAAGGCTGGAAGGATCCAGGGGACAAGACTTTTGGGACCGCCTCTCCCTCCAACCACGAAGGACCACCAGATATCATTTTACTATCTTACCCTGTTAGTGGTACGGTTGAGGGAGTTGTGTGAGAAGTCCTGGTGTTCCCCTCCCCACCTCTCCACACCAAGGAGTCTTGATGGCTTTGCTAGGCTATGCAGGCTCCTCTGACATCTCCATGAGAACGTGATTGTAACCAGTGTCTCCTATCACTAGTCACAATCTAGTCAGAAGTAAGGCTCCCTTATTCCTTGGACTTTGATAAGTATCTCCCTGGCCTTCAGTGTGTGGAGGTTAGGTGCCCCGACAAGTCTTGAAGAGAATCTATGTTGCTTTTAAGAACATCACCAATGGTCTCCCATCAGTCACATCCTGTAGACCCTTTGGTCCTTATCTTATATGACCGTTTGGTGGAATTTGACATTGGAACACTCCCTGCTTGAAATCCTCTCTTGAGGGTGCTGTGGGATGCTATTCTCACTGGGTTCTCCTCACTCAATTATTCAACACACATATGAGCTCCTGCTGGGAGCTGCAAAGGCACTGTGTTGAGACTAGGGATTCAAAGATGAAAAGAAGTTTCTGCAAGCATGTGGCTCACAGGCCAGTGGGAACGTCACATCAATAGAAAAATAAAGTTATGTGAATGATTTAGCCTCAGGAGGGATTGGGTGCAGTGAGGTGTGTGTGAAGCTTTTTGATCTGAATCCTGCCTCTGCTGCTTGCTAGCCCTGTGACCTTAGCAAACTACCTTCCAGTCAATAAGACTCCCCCACTATCATTTATTTCCCTGAAGGTGGTTTTAGTGCTTAAAAAAATCATTCATAGGTTATACTGCTTTTAAGAATTCCTATTCAGGGACTTCCCTGGTGGTCCAGCGGTTAAGAGTTCACTCTCCCAATGGAGGGGGCCTGGGTTCAATTCCTGATCAGGGAACTAGATCCCCCGTGCTGCAACTAAAGATCCCACATGTGGCAGTGAAGATGCTGTGTGCTGCAACTAAGACCTGGCCCAGCCAAATAAACAAATACTTTAAAAAAAAAAAAAGAATTCATATTCAATTTACTAAGAAAAAAACAGACAAATTAAAAACCTGTCAGCCTTAAAGCCAGTTCAGCTTACAAACATATTGTTCCATTTACAAGTCAGGAAACTTTTAATAACTCGTTTTAAGGGCTATTGATAATATTTGACTTATTTTACAAAGGTATAAATTGATTCCCTTAAGGACTTCAAACCTCACTATTGAATGTCATATATTTAATTTCCTTCTAAAGTATTTTAATCAACAAATAAGCCTCTCCAAATACTTAAAGAGAGCTTATAAATCTAATAAGTAAAGTTTTAAATATGGTAATTCTTAAGTGGTTTTAAAATATTCAATACTTCATATATACTTAAGATTTCCAACTAAAATCAAAGTGTAAATCAATTACTCAATTAACACAGTTCAAATCAGAACCACAAAGTTAACTATAACTTTAATAAGCTGAATTTCTTAAACAATACACATGTTTAAACAAAAAGTATTAACTGATATCTTGAACATGTCTATTCTGAATTTGTTATCTTTCCAGGATTGAAAGATTCATAACTACAAAGGAAACAATCATCTTAATCTCAGCTATTCCCTGGGCCACGTTCTCAACCAAGGACAGTTGCTTAATGACCAGATATCACTGAGACTTTAGCTGATGGTCCCTTTATTTACTTTGTTGATGCCCTCTAAAAGGCTGGTCTCATGCCCTTGTCCCCTAGATTCAATTTGCACACTGTGATATTACCTAATTTTTCCCCTTCCTGCAGCTACAGAACTTGATTTTTCCTTTGCATTTCTTTTTGCTCTTAAGATATTTAACTCTCTTTCCATTTAGGTGTAAAGAGCTTTGAACTTGCCAAAATTCTATACTCTTGTCATATTCTTCCAATCTTTAGGAATAGTACATATAAGAAACCCACATAACATTAAAAGCAAAGTCAAAAAAATGCAGTTATGTAAAATGCAGGGTCATCTTAATTGCAAAGTTATTGAAGGGCTGGTTTGGGGCTCATGGTGAATCTATGCAATTAAATTTGGGACTATGGCTGCAGGATCCAAATTGCAGCCCAGGCTGGAGTTTGATACTACCTGAAGGCAATGCCCAGTAAATAGGAGCCTGTGACTGGCTGGATTTCCAGGACCGTAGCAGGAGTTCCAGACTTTCCAGTCATTTGCACGCTTTGCTGGCCTGGTACAAGGACACTGAGAAACTGGAGATGCTGGGACAAACCTGCCTCCACTCTGCTTCCCAACACTAGGTGCCTTTGCATCCATGGCCCAATGAGAATATTAGCCCTCGCTGTGTGAAGACAGGGGCTGGGTGAGTACAAGACCCCATTTGCCAACTGCATTATATCAAAACTCGCATTATTTTAGATTTTTATTGTACTTAATTACTATACTTAAATGATACTTCATTTGGATTCTATCACAAGATTGCATCTACCTATGTTCACAAGTTCAAAGAAGGTCCTTCCAATGACATTTCCCTCACTAAGCCTCAGTTTCCTCATCTCTAAAATGGGGATAATAGGAGTACCAACCAGATAGGGTTGATCTGAAGATTAAAAGAGAAAACGTATGTAAAACTCCAAGCACAAAGCCTTACCCACAGCAATTACTCAACAGATGTTAGTGATTATTTTTATTATTAACAATATCTTTGAACCCTCTCCCCCCTTTGCTCTCTCTTCCCATCCAGGCTGTCCCTGCTCTCATGCTCTTACCTGGGCTCCCTGGTGACCTGTCTTCTCATATCTCAGTCTCATTCCTTCCATCCACCTTCCACTCTGCTGCTGGAGTAATCTTTCTTCGAGTCCTTGAGTCATGCCATGCCTCTGCTTAAAAACACTTGCTGGACCGTCACTGCCTGTAGTCTTATGTCTTAGTCCATTTGGGCCACTATAACAAAAATACCATAGGCTGTGTGCCTTATAAACAAGAAATTCAGTTCTGGAGGCTGGGAAGTCGAGGATCAAGGCACCAGCAGTTTTGGCGTCTGGTGAGAGCCTGCTTCCTGGTTTAGACAGCCATCTTCTCACTGTGTCTTCACATGGTACAAGGGGTGAGGGAGCTCTCTGGGGTCTCTTGTATAAGGACACTAATCCCATTCTTGAGGGCTTCACCCTCAAGACCTCATCATCCCCCAAATGTTCCACTTCCTAAAACCATTGCATTGGGGATTAGACTTCAACATGTGAATGTTGGGGAGACACAAACATTTAGTCCATAGCTCCTAGGTTGTAAGACCCTTTATCTGAGCTGCGGCAACCGTTCCTGGCCCCATGTCCTGCAGTTCTCTCTAGGCAACCATATTCTAACCACAGGGCCAGTACTAGAGTGAGGTGAGAGAGGTGTCTAAAGCACAAATTTAAGGAGGGCTTCCCTCTCAGGACTGTACAACATCAGCTCATGACCAGCCTCTGAAGAAGCCTCCATGGGCAGAGGCCTGTTATCTTAATTGTCCCCCTCTCTCCCTCCTTCCTCCCAGACTTCCTGGGTTCAAATTCTCAGTAACTACAAAACTCAGAGCAAGCTACTTACTCTCCTTATACCTCAGTTTTCTCATCTATAGAGTGGGGATAATAAAAAAAAACCTATCTCATAAAGATGTTGTGAGGACTAATGAGTTATTTTGTGTCAAGTTTTAGAAGAGGGCCTAGCACCCGAGAAGCACTCACTGAATGTTAGCTAAAACCACACACTCCACCATCTTGAAGTTTTCTAAGTCCTCTAATGTTATAGCCTAAGTAAATATATAAATCTCAAGATACAACAAGCTACAGCTTAACCAGCTATTACACTATCAATTAAAAGAAGTCAGCTTCTCAAGGCAAATAAAGGGAATTATGCTACCCCCCGCCAACTTACATCCTCAACTCAGCCGGTTCTACAACCGTCACCTGTAACATCCATCCTCAGCACAGTTTCCCTGGTGTTTTTTCAGGATTAATTCAAAGTCTTTCAGTTGCATTGACAGGAAGCCAACACAAACTGGCTTAAGCAAAATAGGGAATTTATTAGACCATTGTATTAGTTATCCATTGCTGTGTAACAAACTGCAAAACTTAGCAGCTTAAAACAATAAACATTTATTATCTCACAGCTTCTGTGGATCAAGAATCCAGGCACAGCTTAGCTGGGTGCCTCTGGCTCAGGGTCCCTCACTAAGCTACAGTCAAGGTGTCAGCCAGGGCTGCAGTCATCTCAAGGCCCTCCTAGGGGAGAATCCACTTCCAATTTCATTCCTGTGGCTCTTGGCAGGCCTCAGGTTCTCATCAACCATTGGCCAGAGACGTTAGTTCCATGTTGGATGCTGGCTGGAGGCCTTCCCTATCTTGGGGTCCTGCAGCGTAATACCTGGCTCCTCGCCTGAGCTCAAGGAGGGATGGGGGTGGAGAAAGAGAGCCCAAGATGGAAGCCACATCCCATCCCTTCTGCCACATTCTGCTCACTAGAAGCAAGTCACAAAATCTATCCCACACTCAAGAAGAGGTAATTACACTAGGGCATGAATACCAGGAGTTAGAGATATTTAAGCGGCATCTTCAGAGCCAAGTTTAGAACCTAAGTCTCCTGAGGCTGAAGCAAGTGATACCCGCTATTGGTTTGCAAATCCCATGAAGGTTATTAATAGATTTGGGACCTCTACCCCAGCCTGAGGATGTGGGAGGAGTCCGTGGTGCTGGGTATAAACAACCTTCCCTGGGACACACACACACACACACATACACACACACACACACACACACACACACACACACACACACACACACACACACACACACACTCACATGCAATTGCGGAAGCTGTGGTAAGTGTTTCCTCCTTCGGCATGTTATCTGAAAGCAGATCATCATGGCGAGCCCAGGGAGACAAACAGATGGCTGGGCTCTACAAACTTTCTCCAATAAGCCGCCAAAGAGTCAGCCACACATATTCTCTCCCTTTCTGTGGACCCCTCTCCTCTTCCTGCTCATGGGTAAGTCCACACTGTGGCCACCGCTGCTTGCTACTGGTATTCCTCTGAGGCTGGTCACATTTCTGCTGGGGATTCTAATTGATAAAGGCAGGAAACTCTTCTCCTTTTGGTAATTATTCTGCAAGTTCCACCTTACTCTGAGCTCTGTATGTGTGTGTGTGAGTATGCATGGTTACACACCATGAATAGGTGACATTCTAGCCCCGGTCACAAATAACTCTGGGTTCAGATTCTATTCCTCTCACCCTCACATTTTCCTGCTAAGAAATACTGGGTGATGAGTTTTTTCCCTATACACTGTGGGTAAAACACACAGAGAGATACAGGGAACTTGTCCTGAGGATAAGCCAGCTGTCAGTTTCCTAGGGAGGGACAGAGCTGCTGGAGCTTCTTTCTACATCCTGCCTTGTTTATCACATGTATGGAGGCTTCATTAGGGATCTGGAGATGATCTTGTTGCCCTCGGCTAGGTGGCTTCTATGTGAATACCCTTTCTCCCCACCATCCTACCTCCCCCTCAAGGCCCAAGTCCTGCTAGTTTCTGAGAAACATTTCTCAAGAGCACTTTCTATTTCATCTTTGCTCAGCCCTCTCCAGTGGGCAGAGCTAACCCAGTACCTCAGGGAGGATCTCAACCACCTGGGACTGTGGCAGTTACTGTCCATCTGGAATCCTTCTTCCTCACCAGGGATTCAGGGAGGATAATGCAGGTAGCACTAAGGACCTGACAGCAGTGAGGATGGAGGTGGGGATGGGCAGTGAGGAAAACTCTAGAAAACTCTTAGATGCATGTATGGGGGTAGAGGGAGCCTAGACCTCAAGACTGAATTTTAGTTTGACCTCCCTTCACTTTTTTTGGCTGTGTTGGGTCTTCATTGCTGTGTGCGGGCTTCTCATTGCTGTGGCTTCTCTTGCTGCAGAGCACGGGCTCTAGGGCACATGGGTTTCAGTAGTTGTGGCGCAAGGGCTTTGTGGCTTTGTGGCATGTGGGATCTTCCCAGACCAGGGATCGAACCCGTGTCCCCTGCATTGGCAGGTGGATTCTTAACCACTGCACCACCAGGGAAACCCCCCTCTTCACTTTCTATTTCATCTTTGCTCACCGTAAAAACACAGGTGGCAGCAGGGCTGTTTATATCCACACCCAGCTCTCGAGGTGCTTCTTGGTTATGTTGGATAAACCTGGAATTAGCCACATCCAACGACCTCCAAGCCTCAGGTGGTCAATGCAGGGAATTTCAAACAGTTCAGGGCAAAGAGACATCTCCCTCTGTCTGGTTCCACCAATTAGGGTTACCTCAAACCTCACTGTTTGGGTCTAGAAGGGAGTTTCCTTGAGGCTTTTGTGTTTCCAAGGAGCTGTTTCAGGAACTTAGGAGGCAGTAGGGTAGAAAGTTTTGACCCCTCGCCCCCAGCTTTAGTACCAGGAATATTTGAAATTAAGTCCCTGCTCCATCATTTCTTAGGTGTGTGAGCCTCTATTTCTTAAAGTATATAATACAAATAATAAGATGTATTATGCAAGACTGTTTTATCGATAGAGATGGTATGTGTACAGTGCTTGGCACGTAGTTGGTGGAAGCTATGTTTGTCATTATGATAATCACTGTTAAGTACATTATTCTCAGACACTATTCAAGGATGGGCAAGTCAAATTCAGTTATCACAATCTTTGAGCCCCCCTTTAATTATTTATCAAATGATGTAGTTCAAAAATAAGATGGCTGGGCTTCCCTGGTGGCTCAGTGGTTGAGAGTCTGCCTGCTGATGCAGGGGACACGGGTTCGAGCCCCGGTCCGGGAAGATCCCACGTGCGGTGGAGCGGCTGGGCCCGTGAGCCATGGCCCCTGAGCCTGCGCGTCCGGAGCCTGTGTTCCGCAACGGGAGAGGCCACAACAGTGAGAGGCCCGCGTACCGCAAAAATAAAAAATAAAAAAAATAAGATGGCTGATACGTGGGGCACCTGTCACTCTGCAGGGAGCTGTGTAGCACTCTGCTACAGTACGATCAGGACCACATCCTGCTCCTCCCACTGACAGTATGAGAGGCTTTGTTTATCGTTGATGTGAGGAGCGATGATGTCAAAACATGTTCATATGAGCCCAGCCAAGACCCAGCACCTCTGGGCTTCCAGGATGGGGTGGTCAGTGCTCTTGGCCTCTATACTCTGGGGCATCACGTACATAGAATCTGGGCTCTGGAACTGACCAAAGCTGTGATCTCAGGCAAGTGGCTTAAACTCTCTAAATTTCAGTTCCTTATCAGAAAAACAGGGCTACTTACCAGATAATTTTGAGGATTAAATGAAGTGATTTCTACAAAGTGCCTAATACACACATAGCAATCATAAGCAGTGTCTTCTGGATGAGAAGAGCTCTCTTTTAGGCAACCTCAAACCAACATCACTTCAGCTAAGCTTCTGTCTTCTGAATCTGCCCCCAGAGTCTACCTGAACTGACCCTTTCGTGTCCAGGGTTCCTAGTCCTGTGTCCTCCCTAGCTACCATGCCACAAGGTCCAAGAGCTCTGCTGATGGGGGTCTGGGCAGAGACCCCCTTGGCCTGCACCAATCTCTTCTCTGTGTCTACAGAACCCATAACCTTTAGGCTTTCAGAACACACTTCAACCTTTTCCCATCCATCCAGGCTGTACTTTGGACACTCCTCTCTCTCTAACATTTTCTACATATTTTTCCACCCAGAATTCCTGGTGTAGTCTGGGTCCTGAACCCATCTGAGTTGGTCTAGGGTTTACAGAGCACTCTCTAGAGCCTCAGAAGCCCTGAAATCTGGGAATCCAGGTTGGGGTCACCCAGAGGATACTCACAGGACCTCTACAAGGAAATAAGCTGCCGTGGCCAAATGTCAGGCCTCTGGAGCCCTTAGTAACAATGGTTATCAGAGATCCGAGTCTTTCCTGAGATGAGGAAATCAGGTGTTGAATCAATGCTACCTACCTATTCCCAACCCCAAACCTTGTTCCCAAGCGCAGACCAGATTTCCCTGGCCAAGCCAAAGTCAGGCTGAGATACGTGGGCACAGAGGGAAAGGTAAGGTGATAATAGAGGTGAGAGATGCTCCTTTTATTCCCAATAGTCTATTATGAAAATTCTCAAACATACAGAAAACTTGAAAGAATTTTGCAGTGAACACTCAGATACCTCCCAGCTCAGTTCTATCACTGGTGTTTTACTTTACTTCCTTTATCACACACCTGTTCATCTATCCACCCTTTTAGCCATCCATCAATCCATCTTGTTCTTTTAAAGATACTCCATATTTTACTTGATTAGTTCTTTATGATTTACAGCAACCCGATTTTATTTCATCTCTACCACATTCCTGGAGGAAGATGGTACAGGTGTGAACATTTCTGTCTTACAGATGAGTAGACTGATTCTCAGAGAAATTCAGAAATTCATTGAAAGCCACAATGTTAATTTCCCTGTAGGAATAGAAACCTATAAAATCTGTTTTACTGATTATTGTAGCTACATTCCTGGGAGAGAATGTTTGGGAAGTGAATGAATGGATGAATGAGGTCCATTTGCTAAGCAATGGACCTAGAGGGAGGACAGCCAAAATATCATTTCATTTCTCAACATCTGGCATTTATTACCAATATGTGTTTATTGAATGAATGAATGCACACATGCATGAATAAATGAACAAACAAATGAACGCTGGCTTGAGGACTCCAGCTCCTCCTCCAAGTCCCTCTTTTGTCTCTGCAGGGCTAGGAGCCTCTGAAAAGGACTCAGCCCCAACAGTGGTGAAAGGGATTCTAGGGGGTTCGGTGATTCTCTCCCTGAACATTTCAGTAGACACAGAAATTGAGCACATCACCTGGAGTGGTCCCCAAGAAGCTTTGGCTTTAGCAGATGCAAGAGGAAAGATTATCTTAATAGACAAAAGTTACCAGGGGCGAATAAACATCACCCAGAACAACTCCTTGTCTATCAACAAGCTGACTCTGAAAGATGCAGGATCCTACAAAGCCCAGATAAACCAAAAGAATTCTGAAGTCACCACAAGTGAGAAATTCACCCTGTCTATCTATGGTGAGTTCCAGAGAGCATCTGTGGGTTTTGACCTTTTATTTTCAAAAGCAGGGTTTTTTCCTCTCCAGGAATTAATCTCTCTAGGACAAAGAGAACTATCACATTGGTCCTTTTCTCCCAATTCCATAAATACAGATGTCAAGAGTGAAGAACAGCCAAAATGTGTTTAAGAGCTATTTGGATTCTGTTTTCTGCCATTTGGATTCTCTCTCTCTGTTAATATCCCTTATCCATCCATCTGTATTAGCTTGCTAGAGCTGCCATAACAAAATATCAGATTGGGTGGTTTAAACAACAAAAATTTATTTTCTCACAATTCTAGAGGGTAGAAGTCCAAGGTCAAGGTGTCAGCAAGTTTGATTTCTTCTGAGACTCATGCCTTGGCTTGCAGATGGCCACCTTCTTGATGTGTCCTCACATGGTCGTCCCTCTATCTGTGTTGTCTGTGTCTTAGTCTCCTCTTTTTACAAGGACACCAGTCATACTGGATTAAGGCCCACATTGCAACTCCATTTTAACTTAATTATCTCTTTAAAGTCTCTATCTCCAGATACAGTCACATTCTGAGGTAATAGGGATTATGAATTCAACATATGAATTTTGATTCAGCCCATAACACTCTGCCCTCTGGCCCCCCAGAACTCATGTCTTTCTCACAAAATACATTCACCCCATCTCAACAGCTCCCAAAGTCTTAACCCATTCCAACATCAAGTCCAAAATCTTATCTAGGTATCATCTAAATCATGTATAAGTGAGACCTGAGGTATAAGTCATCCTAGAAAAAATTCCTCTCCAGTTGTGAACCTTTGAAACCAGACAAGTTACCTGCTTTCATGATGGGACAAGCACAACATAGACATTTGCATTCCAAAAGGGAGAAATCTGAAAGAAGAAATGGGTCACAGGTCCCAAACAAGTCTAAAACCTATTAGGGCAAATTCTATTAGATTTTTAAAAAATTTTTATTGGGGTAGTTATCTATTTTATATATAGTAGTGTGTATACGTCAGTCCAATTTATCCCCCCCTTACCACCTGGTAACCATAAGTTTATTTTCTGCATCTGTGACTCTGTTTCTATTTTGTAGATAAGTTCATTTGTACCCTTTTTTTAGATTCCACATATAAGTGATATATGATATTTGTCTTTCTCTGTCTGACTTACTTCACTCAGTATGACAATCTCTAGGTCCATCCATGTTGCTATAAATGGCATTATTTCATTTTTTTTATGACAGAGTAATATTCTATTGTATATATATGTACCACCTCTTTTTTTTTGATGATGTATTTTCTTTTTTTTTAATAAATTTTATTTATTTATATATTTATTTTTGGCTGCATTGGGTTTTTTGTTGCTGCGTGTCAGCTTTCTCTAGTTGCAGCGAGCAGGGGCCACTCTTCATTGCGGTGTGCGGGCTTCTCATTGCGGTGGCTTCTCTTGTTGCGGAGCATGGGCTCTAGGCGCGAGGGCTGAGTAGTTGTGGTGCACGGGCTTAGTTGCTCCACGGCATGTGGGATCTTCCCGGACCAGGGCTCAAACCCGTATCCCCTGCATTGGCAGGCGGATTCTTAACAATTGCACCACTAGGGAAGTCTCCATATCTTCTTAGATCTGAGAATAATCCCCTTTGGCTCTATGATTTATCCTTCTTGTCCACTGGGGTGGCAGCCACACCTCCTTGGCACTGGACCCTGGCCAGCAGCCCTGCCCCCTGGAACCAAGGAGGAAACCACGCCACCAACGGCCCCTGTGCCTATGACCTTTAGGCCTGTGGTGCCAGTGGCAGACCTGTTGATCTCTGAACTGCCCTTGGGGTCATTCTTCCCTTTTCTTGAAGGATAAAGCATGGTCTCAGCTGGACATCTCTATTGGCTTATCCTGTAAAATCCCCCAAATCTGACAGCCTTCCTTCATTTTGTCCCATCTGTGTCCCTTCAGTCCAAGGTGGCAGAATTTCTACTGAAATGGTTGACTAGATCCTTGAATTACACCATTGTCTATCCATCCTCTCAGTGTTTTCTCCAGACAAAGATTCTCATTTTTTGCTATATAGATAGGCTGAGAATTTTCCAAATCTTTAAATTCTGGTTTCTTCTTGCTTAACAATTCCTTCCTCAATTTATCTTTCTTCTCTCACATTTTACTACAAAAGGAGAAAACAGGCAGTGCCCTCAATGCTTTGCTTGGAGATCTCCTTAACTAAATACCCAGTTCATCACTTAAATGTTCTGCTTTCTACAATACACTAGAACATAATTTGTCTAAGTTCTTTGCCACTTTATAAGTATCACTTTTCCTCCAATAACAGGCTCTTCATTTTCAACTATTACCTTACCAGCCACATGTTTAATGTTTATATTTCTTTCAATGTTATATTGACAATAATATGTCTATCTCTGAGATAATAGAAATTTTCTTTACAGATCTCTTCTTTTCTTTCTGAGCTCTTACCAGAATCACATTTAACATCCATATGTCTATGAACTGTCTCTTGAAGACAATCTAGGTTTTTGCTAACATGCACCTTAAAACTCTTCCAGCCTCTATCAGTTAACCAGTTCCAAAGCCACTTCAATATTTTTGGGTATTCATTATAGCAGCACCCCAGTTCTGGTGCCAAAATCTGTGTTGGTTTGCTAGGGTTGCGATAACAAAATAGCACAGAATGAGTAACTTAAACAACAGAGATTTATTTTCTCACAAATCTGGGGCTAGTCATGAGGTCAGCAGGTTTTGTTTCTTCTGAGACCTCTTTCTCTGGCTTG